TGAGGCCCTGGGTTCAATTCCTCAGCACCACATAAGCAAAAAGAAAAAAGCCGGAAGTGGCGCTGTGGCTCAATTGGTAGAGCACTAGCCTTGAGCTGAAGAGCTGAGGAACAGCGCCCAGAGTTCAGGCCCACAACCGGACCCAAAAATAAATAAATAAACAAAAAATAAGCTCTCTTATGTCTTAGTCATTTTTTCCCCCTGAAGATAGACCTGTTTTATTGTAGAGTGTTAACAAACAAAAGCCTTAAGTAACCAGGTGTGTTTGCACATGCCTGTAATCCCAGCTACCTGGGAGGTGGAGGCAGGAGGATCAGTGAAGGCAGTGAAGAGACTCTGTCTCAAAAACAAAATGGACACTAAAGGATTCAGGTGTGGCTCCCGCGTCAGAGGGCTCACCTAATCCCCCACGCTGCAAAGAATAATAACCAATAAAAAACGCTGATTACCCTCGTGGCCTACCATACCAGCTCTCACACGGCCCACTCGGGCTGTGCCCTTTGGACACTCTGCCTACGGTGGAAACACCTGCTCCGTGCAGGGGAGCGCCCCCAAGTGCCCCGACACCCCCAAGTTTCCATCTCAGTGGCATCTTCCACTCAGCCCACCTGGGGTGTTTTTAAGCATTTGAAAGCCATTTTCCAACTCGTATATACACCTAACTGTGCTCATTTATTTTGATCATCTAATTTTATATTCATTTTCATAAAATGAATGAGTAGATTTCCTAAGTTAACCCCCTAAAGGGGATCATTTTGTTGACAGGATTTCCTTTCTCTTTTTCTTTTCCTTTCCTTCTTTCTATCCTTAATTAGTATTCTCCTCCTTCTCCTCCTCTTGGTTGTGAACTGTCAGTGGGGGAAGATGATTCACACTTCCTGGGTCTCACGTTCACCGCTTCTTTTGTTATATACATGAACACGTGTACTATAAGCTAGGGATATGTTGAGCGGCAGAGCTTCTACTGTCTTCTAATTCCCTCAGTCTCCTCATGGCAGGCTTGGCTGTGACGGCAGAATTGGGGCTGTAGATGCCACCAGCCACTGATTTCCTGCATGAACCACAGGGCAGGGAGCCACATCTGGCCTCTTCATCGTGGGCCTGCCTGGGCTGGCTTTGAACCATGATCCTCAGATCTCAATCTCCTGAGTAGCTAGGATTACAGGCGTGAGCCACCGGCTCACGGCTAAGGTTTTTTTTATTGTTGTTGCTGCTTTTGTTCTCTTTTCTTTGTCTTATTTGTTCATTTATCTGTCCTGGGGGAGGGGGTGGGGGCACTGAGGTAGAGGGACAGAGGGTAACAAATGCAGCAGTGGTACTCACTAGACACCATGCTGAAATGAACTATACAACTTGTGATTAGAGATGGGAGGGAAAAAGTGGGAGAGAGCAAACAAATGTACTCTTTACCTGACTTATGTAACTGTCACCCCTCTGTACAGCACCTTTATAATAACTAAAAATATGCAGTTCTTTAAAAAAAAAACCTCTTCACAAACCAGGAAGGAAACTCTCTTAATGGGAGTAAATATATTTTAGAAAAGCTAAAGGTGTTCTCCATCAACAAAGACTATCACATTGTCTTAAGTCCAAGAAATAAGTCAAGCATAGGAAATAAAGGACTAGAATAGGAAGAAACTATTATTATTGCAAACAAAACAACTGTCTTTCTTAGTGCAGGAGCTCATGACCATAATGCTAGCTGCTCAGAAGCTGAGATGTGAGGATCATGATTCAAGCCAGCTGGGGTCAGAAAATGAGGCTCTTATCTCCAACTAATTACTGAAAAGCAAGGTTCAAGTTGATGGAGCACCAGCCTTGAGCAAAAAAAAAGCAGAGCCCCAGACCCCGAATCCAAGCCCCAAACATACAAAAAAAAAACCACATTGTGAAATGAAAACACACAACACACAACCATGTGGAAGTCTCTTATAAAGGTAATTTTCAACTATTCAAACAAGATACAGCAAAATACCATGCTCATGAAGCCCGCAAACAAGCAGAACTAAAGAACACAGTTTTAGGGCTTCTTGTCATCTGTCATATTTTCAAACATGTAAAATCCTACATTATTAAAATATATAATGTATATAATTTTATATATATGTATATTTATTGACATGTGATTAGAATTATCATCTGTAGTAAATTAAAAACAAAAACAAAAACTAGCCCAGGCAGATGCTGGTGGTTCACACTTGTAATCCTAGCTACTCTGGAGGCTGAGATCTGAGGATCACAGTTCAAAGCCAGGAAAGTCAAGAGACTCTTTTCTGTCCAATTAACAAGCAAAAAGCCAAAAGTAGAGCTGTGGCTCAAGTGGTAGAGTGCCAGGCTTGAGTGAATAAGCCAACTGAAAGCGTGAGGCTCTGAGTTCAACCCCAGTACCACTACATAAACAAAACAACAACCAAGTGCCCAGCCTGGGCCTCTTAAGTGGCATTTAGAAAATGCCCTGTGCCACGCACGCTGCCCACCCTTTCATAAACGTGGAGCATTGGGAGAGCTTCGCCGGAGGCGCTGGTGTTGATGCTGGGGAATTTTCATGTCAGGCCGGGCAGGTGTGTTTGCGGCGTTCCTCTCCGCCTGGGTGTCCCAGCTCCTCCGATTCCCACTTCACAGCTCACACCTTCCTTCCTCTTCTTGGGGAAACCCACAGCTGCAGCCATCTTCCTCTTGGGCCATTTGTACTGGTGTCATAAACGCTCAAAAGGAAAGATACTCGTATTTTACAATCTCTTTTGATCGGATGGCACTTTCCACCCAGCACAGCAGCAGACAACTTTTTTTGTCAGTACTGAGATTTGAACTCCAGGTCTTGCATCGGCTAGCCGGGTGCTCTGCCACTTGAACCTTGCCACCCAGCTCATCCAGAACTGCTTTGAGCAGCAAATGCTCACAACTTTAATAACAAACGTATCTACAATGAGATGACTAGTATTTACAAGCTTTTCCTAAGGATTAAGAAGACTTTCTCCTTTAAAAACTTAATTCTTTTATTTTCTACAAGGACTAAAAAAAAAATGTCTTGAACTTGAGCCACTTTAGCATGAATATCCCTGTTAGACACAACCATGGATTCACTCCAGCAGCCCATAATTTCATCTCTGCAGCAACGCTGATGAGAGACTAGATGCTTGTTTTAGATAAAGTTCTACCAGCAATGACAGGAAACCAAAAATAGGCAAACTGGGGTACAGGTATAAGCAAGACCCTACCTCAAAAACAGTGAAAAAGAGCTAGAGGTTTACCTTGGCAGTAGAATGCTAGCCTAGCAAGCACAAGGTCTTGAGTTCAAGGCCCAGTAACAAAAAACAAAATGGAAACAAAACCAAGTTGAGCCAGGTACTGGGGCTCACGTCTGTAATCCTGAGAAGGATGAAAACTGAGGATCATAGTCTAGAGCCAGTCTAGGCAGGAAAGTTTATCTACCAAAAAGGCCAGAAATGGAGCTGTCACTTAAGTGGTAGAGCTCTAGCCTTGAGCACAAAAGCTCAGGGACAGTGCCCAGGTCCTGAGTTCAAGTACCAGGACTGGGTCTCTCTCTGGTTCTCTCTCTCTCTCGCTCTCTCACTCTCTCTCGCTCTCGCTCTCTCTCTCTCTCTCTCTCTCACACACACACATTGTAGCAATGCTGCAAGAATGCAGAATAGTTGGCTCTTTCCTCCTTTCCTTGTCAGGGTGAAGAATGTACAATTGCTTCTAGAAAGGAGATTGGCCATTTCTTTTCTTTGTAGTTTCCTTTTTTTGCCGGTCATGGGGCCTGAACTCTGGGCCTGGGCGCTGTCCCTCAGCTGTTCAGCTCAAGGCTAGCACTCTACCACTGGAGCCACAGTGCCACTTCCGGCTTTTTCTGTTTATGTGGTGCTGAGGAATGGAACCCAGGGCCTCATGCGTGCAAGGCAAGCAGCTCTACCACTGAGCCACCTTCCCAGCTCCTGTAGTTTCTGAAAGTTAAATGTTAGCATATTATGTTGTAACTGTGCTTCTCTTAGAGGTATAAAACATGTCCACTCAAAACCTAATCACCCCCTGCCCCACGGTATAACCCCTGCTTTCACTGTATTTGATATCAGTATAATTTGTGGAAGGGAAGGGAAAAAACAAATCATTTAAATAGGGATACAGGTGGACCCATTGCAACAATGAGATGTACAAGTCATGTCGAAAACAAACTTTACAACTTTGGCGGGGGGAGGAGAATTGGGTGGGGGAGTAGGGGGAGGATGGGAAGGGATGGGAAGGGGAAACAAAGGAAGAGGCTACAATGCTTGATAAGAAATGTACTCATTATCTTGCCCATGTAATTGTAATCCCTCTGTACAGTATTTTCACAATAAAAAAGAAAGAAAAGCCGGGCACTGGTGGCTCACGCCTGTAATCCTAGCTACTCAGGAGGCTGAGATCTGAGGATCTCAGTTCAAAGCCAGCCCGGGCAGGAGAGACCGTGAGACTCCTATCTCCAATAAACCACCAGAAAACCGGAAGTGGCGCTGTGGCTCAAGTGGTAGAGCGCTCGCCTTGAGCTGAAGAGCTGAGGGACAGCGCCCAGGCCCAGAGTTCAAGCCCCACAGCCGACAAAAAATTAAAAAAGAAAGAAAGGAAGAAGTCAAATTATCCCTATTTGCAGATGATCTGATGCCATAATAAAAGGATCCTAAGATTCCATCACAAAACTCCTAGATCTGATCAACATCTTCAGCAATATAGCAGGATGTAAGACCAACATACAAAGATTAGTAGCTTTTCCATATACCGACAATGAGCAAGCTAAAAAAGAAATCAGGAAAACCATTCCATTCGCAATAGCTTCAAAAAGAAATAAAATACTGAGGTATAAAATTAACCAAGGAGGTGGAAGCCCCACAATGAAAACTATAAAACCTTAAAGAAAGAAATCAAGCCGGGCACCGGTGCTCACACCTGTAATCCTAGCTACTTAGGAAGCTGAGATCTGACAATCACAGTTCAAAGCCAGCCTGGGCAGGAAAGTCCATGAGACTCTCACCTCCCATAATCCACTAGAAAACCAGAAGTGGTGCTGTGGCTCAATGGTAGAACACTCACCTTGAGCTGAAGAGCTGAAGGACAGCGCCCAGGCCCAGAGTTCAAGCCCCACAACCAACCAAAAAAGAAAGAAAGAAAGAAAGAAATCAAAGCTGTCAGCAGATGGAAAGCGCTCCCACGCTCATGGACGGGCAGAGCTGGCGTCATGGCAACAGCTAGATGCAATGCAATCCCATGTCATTCTCTGCAAAAACAGACAAATTAATACGAAAACATACATGGGCCTGATGCTGGCAGCTCAGGAGGCTGAGATCTGAGGACTATGGCTGGAAGCAGCCAAGCCAGGAAAAAACGTGAGACTTCTTTTTTTCTTTTCTTTTTTTTTTTTTTGCCGGTCAGGGGTTCTGAACTCTATGCCTGGGCGCTGTCCCTCAGCTCTTCAGCTCAAGGCTAGCGCTCTATCACTTGAGCCACAGCGCCACTTCTGGCTTTTTCTGCTTATGTGGTGCTGAGGAATGAAACCCAGGACCTCATGCATGCAAGGCAAGCGCTCTACCACTGAGCACCTTCCCAGCCCCAACCATGAGACTCTTATTTCTAATTCCAGAAGAAAAAAAAAAAAGCTAGAAGTGGAGCTGTGGCTCAAGTGGAAAAGCACTAGCCTTGAGCGAAAAAGTTCAAGCAAAGTGCATAGGCCCTGAGTTCAAGCTTCAGGACTGGCACATACACATATAAAAACTCCTGTGGAAGCATAAAAGACCTTGAAAAGTAAAAAACAACCCTGAGCATATAAAGCAATGCTTAATATCTGCCTTCAAATTACACTACAGAGCCATAGTAACAAAAACAGCATGGTACTTGCACAGAAACAGAAAAGACTAATGGAGCAGAATAGAAGACTCAGGAATAAAGCCACACAGCTGCAGCCATTTTGGCTCTACTTCTAACAAAGGATGGAAAACCATATACTAGGGCTGAGAAGGTGGATCAGTGATAGAGCGCTTGTCTTGCATGCATGAGGCCCTGAGTTCGATTCCTCGGCACCACATAAGCAGAAAAAGCCAGAAGTGGCGCTGTGGCTCAAATGATAGAGCACTAACCTTGAGCTGAAGAGCTGAGGAACAGCACCCAGACCCAGAGTTCAGGCCCCACGACCGACAAGAAAGAAAGAGAGAGAGAGGGAGGGAGGGAGGGAGGAAAGAGGGAAAAACAAAAGAAATGTGGAGGGAAAGAAGGCCCCTCATACACTGGTGGGAATGAATCGAGTGCAAGCATTATGGAAATCAGTATGGAGGCTCTTGAAAAAGTTAAACCGACCTGTGTCTGCTCAGCAGTGGTGGGAGCCTCTGGCCGCCCCTGTGCTGAATGTATACACTCTTAGCTGTGGAGTCAGCAAAGGCATCCAACAAACGAGGGAGGGAGGGGAAGAGCAGGAACGTGGTGGGGGAGAATGTGTTCAAAGCTCAGGCCCGCGCAGGCGGGGAGCATCTCAGAGAACCCCCACCCCAGACGGCAAAGGCCCGCTTACTACAGCCATGGAAACCGAAGGCGCCCTGACTAAAGGCATGTTGGCTAGGAAGTGAGATGCCAGGCAAGGGCCAGCAGAAGAAGTCCCTTACTGTGTGACCCTGTTTATGGAACACCCCAGATGACAAAGTCACAGGGGGAGTGGGGGTGGGGGGTGCCTGGCAGGGGCAGGGCTGGTGGGCGTGGCTGGGAAGTGCCGGAGATTATCAGTGGCAAAGGGCTGCTCTCTGCTCAGCTGCGCTGCGTGCATGCATGCGTGATGACATGTCACATCGCGTGCTTTCGGAGGGACTGGTGATGGGCACAGGACGCTGCTCAGCTCTGCATCTGCAGCTCCTTGGATCTGTAATGTTCTCTGCAGTATGGGGGATTCCACTCAAGGCTCTGTACTCACAAGACAGAACTCTAATACATCAGCCATGCCTCTACTCCTATTATTATTATTGAATAAAAAGTTTTCTTAGGGACCTGAAGTGGGTTTTTTTTTACTTTTTTTTGGTCAGTCATGGGGCCTGAACTCTGGGCCTGGGCGCTGTCCCTCAGCTCTTCAGCTCAAGGAGAGCACTCTACCATTTGAGCCACAGCGCCACTCCCTGTTTTCTAGTGGTTGATTGGAGATAAGAGTCTCCCAGACTTTCCTGCCTAGGCTGGCTTTGAACCATGATCCTCAGACCCTGAGTAGTTAGGATTACAGGTGTGAGGCACCCTGCCTGTTGTTGTTGTTGTTTTAAAGTATTACAATTTCATTACGATCCACTAATTACTCATAAAGACTTTGAAAAAGTGCCTTATGAAGAATCTTGCTGTCAGGCTGGGCATTGGAGCGCATGCCTATAATCTCAGCTAAAGCAGGGTTGTCAGGTAGGAGGCTCATGATCTCAGGCCAATCCCAGACAAAAATGTGAGGCCTTACCAGAAAAACTAAAGCAAAAAGCGGCCGGGCAGCAGCCTGGAGAGCACAGGGTCCTGTGAGTGGGCGGGGACGCCAGGCCCGGGCAGCTTTGAGGTTCCGGAGACTTGGGGAGAATGACAGAGCAGACCACAGGAGAGGAAAAGCCTCTGCGCTGTGAGCTGGCTGGGGCGGAAGCTTCCTGTACGCCCGTGAGAAGCGGAAGCCGGGACGGTGGAGACTACCCAGAAGCCCATCCATCACTTCAAGCAGGAACTCCGAATGGCTGGCCAAACAGGAAAGGGGCCTCAGCTCTTCAGCAGGGAAATGTAACTTCAAACCGCAGGGGGGGCTGGCATCAATGACTCACACCTGTAACCCCAGCTACTCTGGAGGCTGAGGTGTGAGGGCTGAGGTTCAAAGCCAGCCTGAGATGGAAAGTCCGTGAGGCTCTTACCTCCAATAACCACCAAAAAGCTTGAAGGAGAACTTCAAGCTTGAAGGAGAACTTTGGCTCAAGTGGAAAAACGCCAGCATTGAGCTAAAGCGCTCAGAGATAGCACCTAGTCTCTGAGTTCAAGACCCAGGATCAGCAGCAGTGTGTGTGTGTGCGCGCGCACACGTGCATACACACACACACACACACACACACACACACACACCTGCAGGGTTGTAGTGCACTGCTGAGCTGGTGGGGGTGGGGTGTCTTTCCAACTGTGCTGGAAAAGTTTGATCTTCTCTACCAGGGAGCAAGGCTTACATTCTTGACATCTCACTTAGTTTATTCCTAGGTTAAAAAACAACCACCAGTACCCACAGCTCATGCCTGTAATCCTAGCTATGGGAGGCTCTCAGATAGAGGATCACAGCTGAAGGCCAAACCTTGTGAAACTCTGTTTCAAGTAAAAAGCTGGGCACAGTGGCACATGCCTGTGATTTTTCTCGAAGCCAAGCTTCGGGATCTGGAATATTCTCTACAGGAGCCATTCTGTGCACTGTAGTTTAGCCGTGCCCTGCCTTAACCCAGGGGCTTCTGTTTCTGTTTGGTTAGCTGGTTGATTTTCATTTTTGTCAGTTGTGGGGTTTGAACTCAGGGCCTGGGTGCTGTCTCTAAGCTTTTTGCTCAAGGCTAGTGCTCTCCCACTTTGAGCCACAGCACCACTTCTGGTGTTCTAGTGGTTCACTGGAGATAGGAGTCTCACAGACTTTCCTGCCCAGGCTGGCTTTGAGCTGCGATCCTCAGATCTCAATCTCCTGAGTAGCTAGGATCACAGAGATGAGCCACTGATGCCAGGCTGCTTCTGGAGTTTTAAGACAGGCTCTCCCTATGTAGCCGGGCCTTACCTGGATCTCAGCCCCCCAGGTGCTGGGACGCAGGCATGTGCCACTGTGCCTAACCTAACCTTGTTTCCACAATTGAAAAACAATCTCTGGTGCCCTCTTCCCTGGCTGTGAACCCCTCCTGAGGCACGTCCACCACGTGAGGTCAGCTTACGTCGTTTGAAGATGTACAGGAATTGCTTTCGGCTCCATTTCACCACTGAGAGCTGAAGAACGAGGAGGAAGAGCAGCACCAGCACTGTAACCACCATCAGCACCGTGAAGACAACAAGGCTCTGTGGAGAGGGGCCTGGGCAGGAAGAAGGGTGGCAGTGCCGTCACACCAGGGCCATCACACCAATGCCATCACACCAGGGCCATCACACCAGCACCATCACACCAGCGCCATCACACCAGCGCCACCACACCAGCGCCATCACACCAGCACCATCACACCAGCACTATCACACCAGAACCATCTCACCAATGCCATCACACCAGGACCATCGTACCAGGACCATCACTCCAGGGCCATCACACAACGCCATCACACAACGCCATCACACCAGCGCCATCACACCAGGGCCATCACAACAGCACTATCACACCAGGGCCATCACACCAGTGCCATCACACCAGGGCCATCACACCAGCACTATCATACCAGAACCATCACACCTGGGCCATCTCACCAATGCCATCACACCAGGACCATTGTACCAGCACTATCACACCAGGGCCATCACACAATGCCATCACACCAGCACCATCACACCAGGGCCATCACACAACGCCATCACACCAGCACCATCACACCAGGGCCATCACACAACGCCATCACACCAGCACCATCACACCAGGGCCATCACACCAGCACTATCACACCAATGTTATCACACCAGGGCCATCACACCAGGGCCATCACACCAGGACCATCACACCAGGGCCATCACACCAATGTCATCACACCAGGGCCATCACACAACGCCATCACACCAGCACCATCACACCAGGGCCATCACACCAGCACTATCACACCAGCTCCATCACACCAGGGCCATCACACCAGGGCCATCACACCAGGACCATCACACCAGCGCCATCACACCAACGCCATCACACCAGCACCATCATCACACCAGCTCCATCACACCAGCTCCATCACACCAGGGCCATCACACCAGGGCCATCACACCAGCACTATCACACCAGGACCATCACACCAACGCCATCACACCAGCGCCATCACACCAGCACCATCGTACCAGGACCATCGTACCAGCGCCATCACACCAGCGCCATCACACCAGCGCCATCACGCCAGGACCATCACACCAGGGCCATCGTACCAGGACCATCGTACCAGCGCCATCACACCAGCGCCATCACACCAGCGCCATCACGCCAGGACCATCACACCAGGGCCATCACACCAATGTCATCACACCAGTGCCATCACACCAGGGCCATCACACAACGCCATCCACACCAGTGTCATTACACCAGGGCCATCACACAACGCCATCACACCAGCTCCATCACACCAGGGTCATCACACCAGGGCCATCTCACCAACGCCATCACACCAACGCCATCACACCAGTGCCATCACACCGGGGCCTTCACACCAGCGTCATCACACCAGGGCCATCACACCAGCACCATCACACCAGCACCATCACACCAGGGCCATCACACCAGGACCATCACACCAGGACCATCACACCAATGTCATCACACTAGCAATATCACACCAGGGCCATCACACTAGGGCCATCACACACCATCACACCAGGGCCATCACACAACGCCATCACACCAGCACCATCACACCAGCGCCATCGCACCAGGGCCATCACACAACGCCATCACACCAGCACCATCACACCAGCGCCATCACACCAGCACCATCACACCAGCGCCATCACGCCAGTGCCATCACACCAATGTCATCACACCAGCAGCATCACACCAGGGCCATCACACAACACCATCACACCAGCGCCATCACACCAATGTCATCACACCAGCAGCATCACACCAGGGCCATCACACAACGCCATCACACCAGCGCCATCTCACCAGCTCCATCACACCAGGGCCATCACACCAGGACCATCACACCAATGTCATCACACTAGCAATATCACACCAGGGCCATCACACCAGGGCCATCACACAACACCATCACACCAGCGCCATCACGCCAGCGCCATCACACCAATGTCATCACACCAGCAGCATCACACCAGGGCCATCACACAACACCATCACACCAGCTCCATCACACAATGCCATCACACCAGTGCCATCACACCAGGGCCATCACACTGGTACCTCAAAACTGCTGAATTCAAAAGCAAAACAACCAGAAGCTCTAACGAAGTGGCTCAGGCTTTGTAGCAGATAGAAAATGCAGGACCCCAGAACCCCCTTTTCTTGGTGCTCCCCTATCTGTTTAGGGTGAGCCTCACACTAACTTCTAATGAATGCCTCAGACTACTGAATGACAAACATCTGAGAAAATTAGGGGGGGTCTGTGAAGGCACCCAGAGGCCCCCGCTGCAGGCACAGTTGAAGGGGGCAGTACAGGGAGTTTCCACACCCACCAAGACCCCCTCTCCCCTCCCCTTCCTACTCCTCCCCTTCCCCTCACCTCCTCTTCCTTTCCCTCCCCTCCCTCTCCCCCCTCTCCCCTCCTCTCCCTTTTCTTCCCCTCCCCTCTCCACTTTAATTTCTTCCCTCCCTCCTTCTTTCCTGTCTTTTAACTTATTTTTGGCTCATGTTCACAGCACAGCCCCGACTGGCCTTGTAGCCTGGGCTGGCCTCCATCGCTTAAGCCCTGGGGTTCTAGGCATCCCCCCCCCCGCCCCCAGCCTTCACTTGACGGTCACAAGCCCAGTCCTTGGCCGCGCAGGGCAGGTGTGCTGGCGGCAGTACCTGGAGAGGAGACGGCCAGAGCGGGGCCGCAGATGGCATCGCGGGTGCTGGTGCCCATCACGAGGACAGGCTTTCCATCCGAGGAACAGCTGCCATGGGGGGAAGAGGCCAGTTCAGCGTCCGCGTGGGTATGAGGGCTGGGCGAGGAGATCTGCCATCCGCACAACCTGGGTCCCCGGCGTGGGCAGAGGGTGCCCCCCCCCACTCGCTTCCTGCTCGTGTCACCGGCTTCTGAGCTCCACAGTATAACCCACTTCCCACACCCAACCGAGCTCTTCTTTCTCCCTGGTGGGTGACGGGGCCCTGGGGGCTTTGCCCCCCACCCCGTCTCCTCACAGCTGACCCCTGGCCCCAGGGTGTGAGGGCCAGCGCTGGCCGGGGCGGGGGGGGGGCTGCCACTTCACAGAGGGGCATGCGACAAAACACATCAGGGTCAATAAATAAATCCTGGTTCTGGCATGGGGCTGTGGCTCACGCCTGTAATCCTAGCTGCCTGGGAGGCTGAAATCTGAGGACTCAGCGCCAAGCCCGCCTGGGCAGACAGACCCAAGAGACCCCGCGCTTCCTCCCTCCCTTTGCTGGGCAAGCCAAATGCAACGCTGCTTACTTGGTCCAGGGTTGACAGGGGCCGCTTTCCTGGTCGTTAAACGTCCCAAAGGGGCAGTCCACACAGCCTGCGTTCAGGGGGACAGGGGAAAGGAGCAGCTCAGCACGCCCCATCCGCCCAGGGCTCGTTCCTGCTCTGATCGCCACTCACTGCTGTCTGTGTCTCACACAAGCAGAAAACCACGGTTCCGGGGATCACCCAGGGGCCTGGCTCCACACCTCAGGGGAGTAGCTCCTGATCCATCCAGACGCATCATGAACTAAAGCACCGTACGAACGCCCCACCCTGGACTCACGGGTGAGGCTCTAAGCTGGAGCAAGCTGGGCAGGACACGGGCACCTACCTGCTGCGACAAGCTCTTCACCTGGCCTGCAGCGCGGCTCACACTGGGAGCAGCCAGGCCCCAGGCAGTGGAACCCCGAGATGCACTCACACTCTGTGTTGCTGGTGGAGGAACATTCCTTCTTCACTCTGAAAAGACCTGCAAAGCCAACACCCCACCTCCAAGTCCAAGAAGCAAATTTGTGTTGTCCTGTGCCTGGCAGGCTGGTGCTATTCTGCTGAGCCATGCCTCCAGCACTGTTCTGTGCTGTTACTTTCAGGACAGCCTCTCCCTAGCCTGATCCTGTACTGAGCCACCTACTGTAGGCTTCCCATAGTTGCTAGGAACACAGGTGTGCAGAAACGGTGTCCAGTTTCCTCCTTTAGAGACCAAGCCTGGTGATCCTCCCGATCTCAGCCTTCCAAGCAGCTAGGATTACAAGACTGGGATACTGGCATGTGGCTTGCTTGTAATGCTCTTAAAGATTTTACAGTATAGGCTGGGCACTGATGGCTCACACCTGTAATCCTAGCTACTCAGGAGGCTGAGCTCTAAGGATCAAAGGTTCAAAGCCAGCCTGGGCAAGGAAAGTCCATGAGACTCTTATCTCTAACCACCAGAAATGGCTCTGTGGCTCAAAGTGGCAGACACTAACTTTGAGCAAAAGAGTTCAGGGACAGCACCCAGACCTTGAGTTCAAGCCCCACAACTGCCAAAAAGAAAGCAGATTTTACAGTATAATGCTTACTTTGTTTTGAGACAGGGACTTGCTCTGTAGGCCAGCTAGCCTAGTCTCCCAAGTGCTGGGACTGCAGGAGTACACTAGAGCACTAGGCTCAGACTATTCACTATTGATTTTTAAATCCTCATCAGGACATTTTTACACATCACTAATTAAAAACCTCTCGTCAGGTGGACACCTCCTCTACTATATAAAACGCTCCACACGAACTAATTGCCACTACATACAGAAACCATCTCACTTAGTCCTGCCCACTGACCAAATCATCAGCATCTTTGATGCCTAAGATTTGTTGTTGTTTTGTGAGCCAGTCCTGGGGCTTGAACTCAGGGCCTTGGTGCTGTCCTTGAGCTTTTCTGCTCAAGGCTAGCACTTCCTACCACTTGAGCCACAGCTCCACTTCCGATTTTGTGCTGCTTCATTGGAGATAAATGTCTCCCAGACCTTACTTCCCCAGGCCGGCTTCAAACTATGATCCTCAGATCTCAGCGTGCTGAGTAGCTGGATTACAGGCCCGAGCCATGGGGTGGCTGACGCTGAAGACTTGGGTTGAGATGGTCAGTCCGCAGCCAGAATGACGTGCGCCTTCCCGCCGCTCTCCCCGTACCTTCGCACGCCCTACATATGTGGCAGGCCTTCTGTCCGCCCATGCTGGAGTAGCTGCGTGGGGGGCAGGGGATGCACGGCTGGCTCCCATTCCTTCTGCAGAAGGTGCCTGGGGGAGGCAGGAGACAGGTGGAAGTGTGTGGCAAGGAAGGCACAGGGAGGCACAGCACAAGGACCTTCCCAAGAAAACCAGACGGATTCATTTCTCAGATGTCACAGTGATGGTCATTCGCTTTGTCCATTGATGTGTGTGTGTGTGTGTGTGTGTGTGTGTGTGTGTGTGTGTGTGTGCGCGCGCGCGCCAGTCCTGGGGGTTTGAACCCAGGGCCTGGGAGCTGTCCCTGAGCTATTGTGCTCAAGGCTAGTGCTCTACCACTCTGAGCCACAGCTCCATTTCTGGAGTTTTGGGTTGTTACTTGGAGATACAAGTTTCATGGACTTTCTTTTCTTGTCTGGGCTGGCTTTGAACCGGGATCCTCAGATCTCAGCCCCCTGAGTAGCTGGGATGACAGGCGTGAACCACTGAACCCCCCCCCAACTGACTTTATTATACATTTTCAAGATTACGCTCAGCCAAGCCAAAGAATTAGGAATACCAACAGCACATCAAGAGAAAGAACACAATTTCCCTTATCTACTGAATAAGATGGTCTGCTTTGTCCTGATTGGTCCTGGAGATGAGCAGGACTGGGTTGGGAGGCGATGCAGGCGCTGTGCTGCACAGCTGCGCTGACTTTCCCGCTGTTGGGGCTGCGCAGACCTCCGGCCCCGGCCCGCTCACCTCCCGCTCTGCCTCCAGGCTGCAGGGAGAGCCCAGCAGCCGAGCTGGTGCCGATCACCGCAGGCCCAGCTGGGTTGCATGCTACGGCACCACGCCTGCCTTGCTGACCCTAGTGGATGATTTCTCTTGTCCCCTGGATGACAAAGCTGACACCCGGAGGCTGCGTTCACACCCCATCAAGTAAACGAGCAACCCAACCCTAAGAGACCCAGCCCCGACTGCCACGGGCCCCCAGGACACTGGTGTGTGCCCGCATTCACTCAGGACTCACCAGCGGCACAAGCACTGCAGGCAGCCTGCGTGGAACTGGTCCTCTCAAACTTCATGAGCAGCAGCACAGCCGTCACCACGCCGTAGCAGGCTTTTCCCATGGTGAAATCTCGCAGAGATGGATTTGAACCAAGTTCCTGCGCCTTGCCTGCAAAGGAACTTTGTCTCACCGACGAAGTGTAAGGATTTCCCACGACGGGCTGTTTCTCCTTCCAGAACCATGGAGATTTCAACCACGACTTAAATGCGTCCACAGGACTGTGATTCGGGGGTTTGAAGGAGCAATGAACAATGGAATATAGTGGAAAAGTAACAAACTCATAGAACTTCTGCAAGAGGAGGGTAAGCTTGCCAAAAGCCAGGAATGAACTTTCCAACAACGTCTGTTCGGGACTTCTGGGATCTGCGGAGATCCTTAGCGGTAACATCCAAGTGAGAGCCCAGGGCTGGTGGCTCATGCCTGTCATCCTAGCCACTCAGGAAGCTGAGATTTGAGGGTCATGGTTCAAAGGCAGCAGGGCAGGAAAATCCTTGAGACTCAGCTCCAATTAACCACCAAAAAGCTGAGCTGTAGCTCAAGTGGTAAAGTACCAGCCTTGGGTGGAAAAAGCTAAGGAACAACACCCAAGCCCTGAGTTCAAGTCCCAGGATCAGCACACAAAACCAACCAACCAAAAACCCTCCCCGGGGTGAGGCTGGCTCTGAGCCAGAGTCCTGCTGCCAGGCAGTGCTAGGCAAGTGCAGATTCTTCCCACTCTTCGCGCGTCTCCTGCTGGAGCTAGAAAGACCTCTCTCTGCCCAACTCATCGCCACGCTCCCTCTGCCACAGTCCCAGACTCATCTGTGTGGAGAACTGAGCTTGTGTGGTATAAAACTAGAGAGCGAAAAGAAAAACATTTCCCTCTCCTTGTGTGGCGTGGGTTTTTGGACAGAAAGAAAGTCTAGAAATGCTCCCTAAGATCAAAGTGCACCCTCACCCCACCTCAGCCCCGCACCGATCCCAAAGACACAAACCTTGCGATGCCAGGGCAGAGACGTGTGCGCTCCTGTGCAGCCGGCGAGTTCACCGGGGAGTGAGCTCACTCAGGCAGGCGGGGCCTCCGGGGGAAAGCCCCCCACCACGTGTGCTCGTGCGCCAGTGTGTGTGTGTGGTGTGTGTGCAGTGGCTCATTCACTGGCTGACCTCAGAACCCCCCTCCTCCCCCGCTGATACCTAAAGCACTTCTTAGAGCACAGGTCAGCGGCCAGATCTCTGAGAACTCTAATGTCAAAGCTTTTCCTGTGTCCTGAGAGCACTGGTCATGAACCTCACTTCAAAACAAAGACCAGCCTTTGTGCCCAGGCTGTCCCCACAATGCAGGAACAAGAACGTAGGTGCTGGGCCAGGCTGTGGCCATCCCACAGAGACCTCAGCAGTCACCACGGCTGTGTGTCCAAGCAGACAATCAGCAGGACAGGGAGCAGGGCTGGAACACAGGACCGCATCGGGTCGCCTGAGGTGGGAAGAGGAGGAAGAGAAGGAGGGGAGAGGGGGCAAGGGAAAATGACCACTCACTGGTGTCATGTGACATTCTTGGGCAAAACAGAGATCTGGGAGGGACTTGAGGGCTTTACATTTCAAAACAAAAGAGGACAGGGAAGAGAAGAAAAAAAAGAGGAAAAGGAAGAAGAGGAAAGTCAGAGAATGAAAAGGAAGGAAGAGGAACAAAGGAAGAGGCAAGGAAGAGGAGAAGGAAGAGGAGGAAAAATGAACTGCTCTGGAGAGTGAAGATGAACTCATCCAGCACTGGTCTGAAGACCTCCAGGAAGACTGAGAAGCCTGGCTGGAGCGCGGGGTGGAGAGCAAGAATGCAAGAATGGTTTGCACTAAAATAGATTGGATGCCTCTCACATTTGAGCAAGAGTAGTGCTCTGCCACTTGGGCCACAGCTGTGCCTCGGGCTTGTTGGTGGCCAACTGGCGATCAGAATATTACAGCCTCTTCTGCCCCAGCTGGCTTTGCAGTGTGACCCTCAGATCTCAGCCTCCGGAGAAGCTAAGATGACGGGTGGCCCCTCAGAACCTGGTCTCGTGGCAGTTTTGACTTGATACCCCTACTGTCATTTGGTCGCACACCCACGCACAAGCACACATGTGCACACACACGAGTCCTGCAATGGAGCAGAGAGCCCCGGGGCTGGGCGCCCATGCTTCGGTGTCAGACGGCTTGCGGCAGACTCTCGTCTCTGCCACTGATGCTTGTGTGACCCTGGACAGAGCTGTTAACCTCCGCAAGTCTCCGCCTTTCCAGCCAGATGGATACAGTGAGCGCGGAGGGAGGAACCCGGGGGAGTGGCCGCAGGAGGGGCGTGGCCGCGGAAGGGGCGTGGCCGCGGGAGGGGCGTGGCCGCGGGAGGGGCGGGGCTCCCTGCTGGCACGTGCCGCTCGGGAAGGTTTCAAGGGCTCCAAGACATTGTTGGAAATGTCCCAGGTCAGCTTCCCACACCCACCGCGCAGCACCCACAGGGCCAGCGGCCACCCAGGGGAGGAAGATCGGCCGCTGGCGATGGTGAGGGGTCCCCCTGCCGCTGACAGAGCTGGCTGAATGTCAGAGCGCCACCCGATCAAGCCCACAGATCCCCTCCGGAGCCTCCCGGGGCCGCTCATTTGCATGAGTGCTTTGGGGTGACATTTAACTGAATGCCACCCACTCAGGTCTAGGTTTTGGTGAGCCCGTGGGTGGAGTGGTCACCTCCCCTCCCCTTTCCCAGCACAGCCCTCAGCTCTCTCTCTCGAATCCTCAAGCTACCGACGCGGAGAGAGATGCTCAGGAGGCAATCAAACCAGCGCAGCTCAGAAGATGCTCAGAAAGCCTGTGCTGAGCACGGGGTGGCCGGCCGCATCCGCCGAGGCTAAGACGGCACGAAGCTCACTCGCTTTAAAATACCTCTCACATGGCTTGATCCACTTCAGCCTTCTGATCCTCCGAATGCAACTAGAAACAGACAGACTCTTCCCCAGCGGGGTCCGGGCGGACGGCAAAGCCCACCCGCCCTGGAAGCCCTAGTGATAAAACTGGTTTCGGGGCAGGAAGGAATCCCGTTTTATTCAGTTACCACGGATCTCACAGCAATTACTGCAAGGAGTCTCCAGGGCTCTAAAAAAGACTTAAAAACAAAACACTTTTAGGAAGAAGTGGGGGCCTCTTCAGATGAGCATAATAAAATCTGCTTCCAATAAAATACAAAGCGAATCTACCCTAAAGTCACTTTTTTAAAAAAGTGTTTTTGTTATGAAGGTGATGTACAGGGCTGGGAAGGTGGCTCAGTGGTAGAGGGCCTGCCTTGCATGCATGAGGCCCTGGATCCATTCCCCGGCTGTAAAAAACTGTAATCCCTCTGTGCATCACCTCTTCTTTTTTTTGGGGGGGGGGGTCCAGCTGTGGGGCTTGAACTCTGGGCCTGGGCGCTGTCCCTCAGCTCTTCAGCTCAAGGCTAGTGCTCTACCACTTGAGCCACAGCACCACTTCCGGCTTTTTTCTTTTTGTTTATGTGATGCTGAAGAATGGAACCCAGGGCCTCAAGTATGCAAGGCAAGCGCTCTACCACTGAGCCACCTTCCCAGCCCTCTACAGTTATTTTTTTAAGCACCCCGACGATCTATGCAGTGTTCCCAAGCTTCCTCAAGGTCTGAGGTCACATCAAGGTCACGCAGGAGCCGCGCCCCTCGCGCCTGCACCTGCTCCGGTCCACCTCTCCCCCCCCCCCCCCGCAGGGAGCCCACTGCGCCTGCGTGGCTCACACACATTTCCCGACCAGCCGTAGCGTCCATCAGAGGAACCGCGACACGTCCAAATCTTTGGGAGTCCAATAAGCTAAATACACTACGCCGTGCAGCGCGGGACCCTCGGGCACGCACGCGCGCCGCGCTGGAGCGTCGGTGATGGGGCGAACACGCGGGGCGCGCACGGAGCACACCCACGCCTGGCGTGATGCGGGCTGCTGCGGGTGGGCGCCCCGGAGGCCCTCCTCCCGTCCTCCAGGCTGAGGGTGCGGCCCTGGGGAAAGCGGGGTGCTTACAAACACGCCCAACTGGCCGTTCGGCCCATCTGCGGCTCTGTAGAAGCAGCACCGACCATCACCATCATCGTCACCATTAGTGTCTTCGCCTCGTGGTGAGGAGCGCTGCGGTCTACAAGCCCGGACGAAGGCCCGGCAAGCGGCACGCGGTGCGGAGGACGGTGCAGGAGGACGCAGGGCGCGCGTGCGCAGTAGGGAGGCGCAGCTGCGGAGCATGCGCAGACGCACACACAGGGCGGCCCGGAAGCTGGCTCCGCACTAGGATCACCCCGATCCATGGTGCACCCCACAACCACCAGCCAATGCCTTCCCAGACAGTATTTAATGCGATGTCAATACATCCTAAAGGCTGAAAGGGCTCAGATTGTTTAAATACTCTATCTGCGTCCCTTGCCACTGTTTTTTAATTAATGGCCTGAGTCAGCAGTGATGCGTTCCCTTTCCTGCCGTGTCTGCGGATCCCGCGCTCTCCCCCGCTCCCTCACTCCCCTCTCCACCCACCGTCATCCTGGAACCTGATCGCTGCCCCCCTCCCGAAGACATACACGTGAACACATCGTCCATGCAGAAGACAGACTCATCAAAGAAAAAAAGAGGCCTCTTGGAGTTCATTCCAATATGTCTGTAATTCTCTATACATATGAAGAGGCACTTTGGCATTGTGCCTGTTTTGGTCTCGCTGGGTGTATCTAGAATCCTATATAATTTGTCATATCCCAGTACATTTGAGATCTAATTTCTGCGTATGAGAGAAAACAGGTGCCATTTGTCTCTCTGAGCTTGGCTTACCTCACTTAACATGATTTGTTCAAGTTCCATCCATTTCCCCACAAATTACATTATCACCTAGGTTTTTGAAAATTTTGAGTAACTGCAAAAAAAAAATTCCGTGTACTTACAATCAAATTTTAGATTAAATGAATGCAAATTCCACCTACACTGGTATTACTAGGTGTTTTGCTTTTCTCACCAGAATTGAACCACACTAAGAAATTGCTTTACCACTGAGCTACAGCCCAGCCCATTAGTTTTGCTTTGAGGACAGGTTCTCACCATGTAACCCAGGCTGGCCTTGAACTCACAATCCTCCTGCTTCAGCCTTCCAAGTGCTGGGATTATAGCTGTGTGCTACAGACCTGGATGGTATGATTGTATTGTCTCTATTAATCCCTTAAGTCATTACTGTCAAAAAACACAAATTACATGAAGTTCTTTATTTTAATGCATGAGATGAAAACAAAATATTGTGTGTGTGCGCACACGCACACGTGCACACAAGTACTGGGGCCTGAACTCAGGGCCAGGGTTCTCTCCTTATTTCTCTGTCAAAGTAAAGGAACAGGAACAGTTGGCTAGTTTACAATATTGTTTAGACAGGGGCTCTGCAGGCTCCATTTCTTCTCTTGCTCCAAACTTTGCAAGTGTTGAGCCAGTGTGGACAGGCACACGTTAGGGATGCAGTAAACCTTCACTGATTGATTGATTCATTCACTTATCCATGATTACACTGCTGGAATTTGAACCCAGGCCTCATGCTTTATAAGCACATGCTTTATCATGCAGGTACACCCTCAGTTCAATAAACCTTTATCCCATGAATGAATGAAAGAATGAGTGAGTTTTCTAAACCCTGTAACTTGCCTTGCTGTTCATGATGCAGAAGTTTCTTTCCTAGGGAAATCACCCTGGCCGGTGCCCTCCATCTTTGTTCTTCAGTTACACTCTACAACAGCCTTCAGAAGCCAAGACACACAGAAGCTGGCAGCTTGCTCAGGGTAACCTGGCTGCTAAAGAGCAGAGACAGGGGGTTTTTGGCTGACTGGCTCCAGGTCCCATGTGTTTACCAAGAGCTCTTTCTACCCACCACCTCCTACCTGTGGTGCTGAGACTCAGCATTTTCTGTAAGTACTCACCACTGTCCAACACTCCCAGCTCCCAGTGACTCAACCTGTGTGTGCCTCTGACCTCTTATCTAGTGGACCTCCATGAGAACAATCT